CTTTAAAAAAAAAAAAAAAGTAAATAAATTAAAAAAAAAACCAAAAATATATGCATGTACCTTTGGAAGGTTAAAGAAGAATCTTTGATTAATTGTGGGAGAAGAATGGCATATATTCTCTTTGCGGGATGCGGTAATTAAATGGTCTCAATTTCCCTCTTTATAGCTTTTCTACAGAGAGATAGAGAGAGGAGAGAGGAGAGAGGAGAGAGCTTTACATTGTTCTAGCTCACCTTCTCTCTTTAAAGTGGGTCCCATCTTAATTTTGAACTCAATTGGCTTTGACCAATCAAATTTTGTTTTGTTTTGTTTTGTTGTGGTGCTTGCAAGGTGTTTGATGTAAAAAATAGTATAAAAATAGTTGCATGCATAAAAATAATTATATATTTTTTGCATAAATATTATATTAATGTATGTGTTTTATGATATTTTTATTTAGTATTCTGCAGGAAATTTAGAGGGCAACAAGTCAAAAATGTCAAAAATGTTGTAAGGGGTCACTGTTTGGTACCATTGTTACAGTGTGGGGAGAGTCCATGTGCATTGTGCATGTGAGCCTATTTGATGTGTAGTGGAGGAAGAAAATTTGCGTATGTAAGACGTACGCAGCGCTGCGTGCTTCAGAAGGTTACAGGGAGGGTATTGGGGGGTTATATCCTCGTTATACCCCCTATATCCTCCCTGTAACCTACCTATACATTCTAATAAGTTTCGTGTTTCTGTTGGTTACAGGTAGATATAACGCCAATATAACTCTCAAATAACATCCATGTAACCTACAAACGTACGCAGCGTTGCGTATGTCTTACGTAATTAAATTTTTTTGTAGTGGAGAGAGTTGAAAGAAATTCAAAGATAAAAAAGCAGATTGAGGAAGAAGATATATTCAAGTGTATTCTTCCTTTTTTTTTTGTGTAGTTCATATTTTTTTTATCAATGAAATTGCTTATATTTTCCATATCAATGCGTAGGAACTAAATTTTTTTTCTTGGATAATTGGTCTTGTGAAATCGTTGTTTATTCAATGTGATTTTCTTCAAGTATTTGAAAAATAAGTTGATATGTTAACCTTTAAGGCTTTGTTTACTTTCTTCTTTACCACTACAAAAGTTAAAATAACTTGTGATGCAGGACTATTGATCGTAGACTAGAAGAGTGAGTAGGTTAACACACAGTATTATCCTTAGAAGAATGAAATCACATTCGAGAATGAAGAATCCTGGGAGTCTTTGCAAGGTTAACAGGATTTAAACATAATATGAGGCTCAAACGCTGCTTATGTCAAGGAATAGAGAAATAAATAAATTGTCTCTGGTTATCAATGACATCAGAAAATAATTTAGTGAAAAAATAATTGGATTCTCTCAAGTTCTAATTCAAGGAAGACTTTCTATCTAGAGCAAAACCTAATAAAATCAGTAGGTATAAGTTTTAGACTGTTTGGAAAATAACTCAGTTATTATGGAATCATACATGAACTCAAAATTTGTATACTACCTAATCGAGACACACATATTTGCTTGATAATGAATGTTTTGCCGTATTTTGAATCACAAGGGAGAAACATCGATGTTTCGCTCCACAACAAAGAAAAAAAGAAGCTCAAAATTATATACTTACCTATTTAATATACTTTTTATAATGCTCTTTTGTTTAAATCTGATAAATATTTACATAAAATGAGCATTTTAATTTAGAAAAATTAATATTAATGATATTTTATCTTATTTGGAGATTATGATGTGATAGAAGGGAATATAAAATTTTATTTATTAAACAAATACATAAATATTCAATGAGTGGTATGCGCATAAATTAATTATGGGAGACTTTCATGCGCATGTACAACTCAAAAAAAAATATTTTAATCCTATTTTATATCCCAATTTAAATGAAAATTATCATGCATCTTTATATTGCTCCATTTTTTAATCATTATTATATTTATAAAAAAAAGTTATTTATGAGAAAAAAATTTAGAAATGGTGCTAAAGACATATTTTTGCATTGAAATATATTTTTAATAAAAAGAAATTTAAATAAAGACTAATTAATATCTGTTTTAAAATTTTTAAAAAATCAAAATAACAATTCTAAATTATTTTATTTAAAGTCTATAGTTTTACATTGAAATCTAGGACATGATTATGTTAAAAAGTACGTTCATATTAATAAAAGATGTATTTAATACTACTGATTTTTTTTTTGTTTCTTTATAATGACTTCATAATAGCTTGTAGGAGGTACAAACACCACATATATCATGAGATGATAGCAAGCCATGTAAGGGCTTACAAGGATGAGATCAATGGGCTTCAACAAAGCCAAGTATATTTGCTTTATTATGTGCAAAGCAAAATATAGATTTAGTTTCTAAGTACAATGCCAAATATGTACAATGCAAAGTACATAGCCAAATATAGATTTAGTTTCTAGGCTGTTTCAACCTTAGTCAATATATTTGCATTATTATGTGTATATTCTTTAAAGATAAATGACCATCTTCTAAGAGTAAATAAATCAAATGATGTTAGAGTTAAATGTATTTCATCCTGACATAAAATGTAACATGCTTTATTAAATAAATGTCACATATAGTATGACAATAAGGTTTTTCTTTCATTTGCTCTTTGTAAAGTTATGTCATAAATCTTTAAAACCAAATCATTTCTTTGCTAACCTTTGTTATAGCAATATTCTCATCATCAAAAGTTGATAAAACAATAATCTTTTGTAACTTGAAAACCCAACTCATTTTTGTGTTCTGTAAAGTGAAGATATAACATATTCTACTTCTTTTGTCATCAATATCCTCTTCAAGATTTGAATTTACATGTCCCTGTAGATTAATCACTACACTTCCAAACTAAAATTATTTTTTTTATTATTACTCTCAAATATCTAAGAATCTATTTCATCGCCTCCTAGTAATTACTCATGTATCGAGTGATCACTCCTCTTACATGTGCAAAGTTTGAATTTATACATATCATTGCATACATCAAACTTTCAACAATTGAACTATAAGGAGTTCTTTTTATTTATGATGTTTGTTTAGCTTCAAACTTATGTGATTGTTCCTTGGATAAGTTAAAGCCATTAAGGAGGTGCAAATTGATTTCACCTCAACCATTTTGGATAAGTCATATCAAAACCTTTCTTCCCTATAACTATCCAAAGGACTTCTCTTGGAACACTATCGTAATCTTATTCTAAATTAATAAAAATCATATATAAATCCTTCTTATTCACTCTGTACTTCTCCATCAAACTCCTTAATAACTATATAGCTTCCACAGTAGACCTGCCCGACATAAATCCAAATTGATTATAAGAAATCTTTGTATCATGTCTTAACCATTTTTCAATTACCCTCTCCCATAGTTTTAAAATATGATGCATCATCTTAAGTCGTCTATAATTTGTATGCTCTTGTACATCTCTTTTATTCTTAAAAATGAGAACAAAATACTCTTCATCCACTCCTCAGACATCATTTTAGTCTTTTTTTTACTTATACGAATTGATAATTTTAAAACTCACCTAGCATTCATTGAATTTTATCAGCACGATTTTCTTACTGTAATCAATTAGAAAATGAAAAGCAAATAAAACTCTGGCCAAAATGTTGTCTTACAAGCCTATTGCTCAACCAAGTCATAGAATGAGAGATATTACTGTCTACAAAAATATATAACATAATTACTCAATTTCCCATTTTTAAAATTATAAATACCCCCTTAGGTTGTATTGATCATGCTTGTGATAAATAGTAAAATTATAAAAAAATTAGACTTGTTACACCTTAATTTATAAAATATAAAAAATGTCATGTCACTGCCCTTAGGGCAACATGCATGCTTTCTTGGCAACTTTCATCATTTTTTTTTCGAGAAATTAAGCCCAAAGAGCAATATATGTGATTCAAATATTTGACCTAATAGTGGGAAACTAAATTCTCAACCACTACGTCACAGTTTAAGTACACATGCAACTTTCATCATGGTTAGATCGAGGTTTGTTCGTAAATTGCTTTAATAAAATATATTGATTTTCTCTTTAAATACATTACGGGGAAAAGCCCGATTAGATCTGACAATTCCGACGCTAATCAGGTCGTTTTTTTACGCTAATTCAGATTAGCACGGGAATAGCATCGGTTTTTTCTGACATAAAATGGGAGTCGCTAAATTATTTGCTTTGCGAATAGCGTCAGATTTTAATATACATCCGCATTAACGTCAAAAATAGCTCTTGCTAAAAAAATACCGTCGAATATGCAAGCGACGCTAGTGTAACGACGCAATAACATCAAAAAAATTCTATGTTGATTAGCGTTTGAACATGGCCGACGCTAATTAGGGTCGGCCATATCCGACGCTAAACAGTGTCAAACTTTTTTTGTGTTATTGCTTCATTTTAGCAGCAGCTTGTATCGTTAGCTAATTGTAGGTTTTACCATTAGAATTTTCTGATGCTAATCCTTAAGAAACAAAGAAAATACAACAAAAAGATTAGATTTTCGCATATTTGCACATAACAAACACAATCAACTTAATATGATATTTATTTTTCATCGTCACTCGTAAATGAAATTTTCAACATACACATATTGATACCAAATCAGATTAAATATAAACGGATTAAAGTGCTCGAAATTTACAACATAAGAAACTGAAAGTTCTTACAATACAGAAATGAAAAAAAAAATTTTAAGGCAGCCCCTGTGCCGAGGGAACATTAGCGAACACAAAAAAAAAAAAAACAAAATATAGTTTTCATCCTCGTCATCATCCTGCTCCTCCACCTCCTCAACTGGACGCATGTGTTGCTTGCTTTGGCGATTAAAACTCCCCGCCAGGCGTGCTAGGCTATCTGCAATGAACGGCTGACCTTTAAGCGCTTGTCGAAGCTCTTCATTCATCATCATCACACGTCTGGCAAACTCCTCATGCTGAGCCCTAAACATTAGGGTTTGTCTCTTTTAATAATGTTGCTATCTGATTGAAGCATTCCCTGGGCATGTTAAAATCAGATTTGATCCTCATCATTCTTAGAGCAACTGTTAATTTTGTGTGCGAAGTGCATCCTTCACACAATGGTTGTTGGGCTGCATTTAATAGTTCATATATTTTTTGCGCTTCACTGTTCGGAACCTGACCATCATCGGACACTCTTCCAACAAAATGAGCTCTGCTCACATCATCAATCATTTACTCATACATGTCAGAATCGTGAACAATAGGAAGGGCATAACTTGATGGGGCTCCTGCATGACCGTACTAAACGTCTGGTTCATATTCATCATGTAAAGTCCAATACCAATAATCAAGTTTAAATCTCTTTTGGTATAGGTCCAATTTCACCTCGACAGGTGTCAGGTACGTCTGATTCTTTTGCTTCACATATGGGCTTCATAATCTGTTTTCTAATAGATAAACAAATAGTTGTGATGCCACATACACGAACTCTTTAACACCAGCAATAAATTCGCCAATTAATCCTTTTTTTAGGGATATAATTTGTTATACATCCACGATCTAACAATTTGAATATCTATGTGTACCATAAATTTGGCTATGTAGATTAGTGCACCCACACATTACAGATCCTACTTGAAACCTTAGTCTACCTACATATCATACCCGAAACTCATAGTCCACAAATCCAGAGAAACAACCTAAATTTTCCTATGTAAATACATAACACTAATTTAGGTATGATCTAAGTTTTCATGTTTACTTACATAACATAAATTTCTTATGTATTTACATGTATCACACCTAAATTTTCAACCATAAATACATAGCATAAATTTCTTATGTATTTATATATCTCACTCCTAAATTTTTGATATTGCATATATACCATGATTTTCTCATGCATTCACATGTCTGACACCTAAATTTTTATATTTACATACATACTACAATTTTCTCATGAGCTCACATATCTTGCTCCTAAATTTCATATTTACATACATACAACTTCTTAGACATTCACATATCTCACACCTAATTTTCATATTTATATAAATACCACAATTTTCTTATGTATTCACATATCTCACACATAAATTTCATTCTTTTACTTACATGCTACACATATCTCACACCTAAATTTCATTTTTGCATAAATACCACAATTTTCTTATGCATTTACATATCCCGCTCCTAAATTTCATATTTACATACATAGCACAATATTTCTTATGCATTCACATATCTCACACCCAAATTTCATGTTTACATAAATACCACAATTTTCATATGCATTTACATATCTTACACCAAAACAAATTTCTTATCTAATTACATATCACACATCTAAACTTCGCCAAAACAATGAAATTCATATGCATTTCATACCTAATAATGGAATATGACCAAAAAAAAAAAAAACTTAAGCAAACCCTATGTATTTTCGGATCTAACACTTTTGCAAGAAAAAAAAAAAAGAAAGAAAATTTATGCTAAAACAAAGCTTGGAGCCGTGGAAGAAGTTTTCTCACATTGGACATGATTGGAGTGATGAATCAAACCCGAAATCGCCGGAGAAGCTCGGAGGACATAGAGGCGACGACCGAAAGCTGAAGGAAGGAAACTAGTGTGAAGTGGAGCTGCAGTTCGCAGGAGGGCTATTTTAAAGCATTAGCATCAGCCTTAGCGTCTTACGCTGTAGCGTCGATCACTCGACTCAACTTTTTTGCATTGATTTTTTTAAAGCGGAACTGAAAGACTACTCTAAACCGACGCTAATTAGCAACTAATTTTGCATTGAAAATAAGTCTGACGTTAATTTTGACGCAAATTCACAACCTTGCTGTGGTGATAGAAGTCTTTTTCAAAATAACAACCTATTTTTTTCATTTCCTAAACCTTTAGTTCAAGCATAGAATAACCCTA